ACTTGACGTGTAGTCATCGGGTGAACCCAGCGATACTGTACATCAACATTTCTAAAATAACATTTGGGCAATGATATGCAGCTAATAACTTGCTTTCCGCCTGCATAATCAGAAAGCCAATACGTAAAACTGTTGTTTTTGAATTTGCCCATTCATCAGGAGAAAGAGGGGAAGGAAGAACAGTAAACCTGTCTGTGGGGCCTCCTTGTTGAGCTAGCCTCAGACCTGGACCAAGTCCAAAACAAAAATAAACAAAGTGAACGACATAAATGATCATTGGAGACCGAATAAGGAAAGCGTAAGATGTAATTACATGGACAGGAAACTTTGTCATCCTATCTGGAGACAGTTTTGCTCTAGCATGAAGAAACGTGCGGGACCCGAGGAAATGAGGGAGATTACAAGTATTGTAAGCAACAGAAACAACTCGAAGTTAAAAGGGAATATGGTAAAATTTGCGTGTTTGCTAGCGCGTAAGCCTCTAACTCAAAAGTACGTTTATATTATTCCTCGCACTGCGTTTTGCTTCATTTATACTGAGTGTATGTATATATTATGTATTTAAAAAGCGTTGCCAGATGTCCGATCAAGAAATCTATACCTTTGTTTGCACGCAAATAATAAGCGAAGCATGGTCCCAAACACGGTTTTCTTGTTCCATAACAGATAAATGACCTTTTTCACAATGTTCCTGGCGTCAGCAACAGATTACAGGTTTTTTGCAAGGTGTATCGTTTTACTAGCTTTTTGGTCAGTGCTGTATGCATCATGCCAAAAATAGTTTTCTTTCAACGGGGCCTGTAAGAGCTCTATATAAAATGCATATCGGCAGTATGATTCGTAGTGTGACATCCTGGACATGTAGGCCTAGCCCAGTATTCTTCTTTCACTAGGTTATAAAACACAAGATTTTAAAGGTTGTAGATCTACTTTTTGTAAGTACAAATTTAACATTCAACGACTAAAAATGTCCTCCTTGGATGGCCAATGATTGTCATGAGAGTTTTCACTGTGTGTTGTCTGAGCTGTAGTTAGGCCTACAGTTTTGCTTTTATAGGCCTTTAATCACATATTTCTAAAGATAGATGTTAGGAAGTTACATCACCGTCTAATGCTTCAAACTATAATTAAGTTTACTTTTGCTTTTCATTTTACTCGTTCACAGGCTGAACAATAAACTGGCGTACAGTGCCCGGATAAAGCGTAGGTGAATGTTAACCTACAATCATCCAAGCAACTTTCTCAGGCACAGGAATAATTCACGGATAGCAGATAAGGAAATTAACTTATCGCCCAAGAGAAGAAACATGGGTTTTGAGGCCATTCAGGAATGAAATTTATTATTTCCATGTAGCACATTTATTTTGCACTTAGCTTTGCTATTTCTTTCGCAGAAAAGCCGCGTAAGATAGCTCTTTGATAAAACTTCCAGGCCTAACAGAAGTTTTGATACTCTTGTGATGTTACAGTCTTCCTCCTGCCCTCACTCCAGTCGATGTATCGAAGCTCTGGCCCCTTCAATACGCCTTCTGTTACTGCCGAGGAACCATTATCCAGGAGTACAGAAGGACGATGAGCCAGGCGATGAGCAATAGTTCCAGGAAAAGAAGATATGTTCCCGGTGAAAGGCAGGGAAGGGAAGAAGAAAATGAGATGATAATCATGTTACAAAAACATAATGTAGAGGGGGAGAGATGAAAATAGGAAAACTATAACAAGAAAGGATGAGAATACAGGGGGGGGGGGGGGGGGGGAGAAGAGAATATGAATTGACAACAAGACAAAAGAAGGGAACACGACAACGGCAGAGACGAAGAACTAGAGTGAACCTCGTCCCAACTCTCCTTGCTACATGAAATGCTTACCTTGTGTTGACCACAAATTCTGTGAAGTGCCGCTCTGTACAGTGACATCCGAGCTGGGGCTTGTGTTCAGATACTGCATTGCGCCCGGATACATCGCTCCTCGTGAGTACATCGGGCTGCAACAAAGAGTCAACGGTGTGGTGATTGTGACCTAGGCCTACTACGCAGCCATGCAGAAGATGTATCTATCACCCCGCCCTACGCCTTATCTTTCCACCTTCATTCTTACAGCCTATCATCAAACCTTATTCCCCTCGTTCTTCTGCACAAAGAGCTTCTTTGTAACACACAGCATCCTCCACAGCCCGCACGTGTATAAAGTGAAATAAATGCACACGAAAGTAGTATAAGACGACGACCTTTCTGTTCATTTAATGACAGTGATTGTGCTGTTGATCTTTGTGGGTGAAGATTGCGAAGGTGCTGATCTCGACACTGAGGTCATTGGTTTAAATGCGATCAGGTTTCTTTCATTTCACTTTCTGCCACGACAGACATGAAATTCCGCCCGAAGTAATGTGAAAAAGTGACCAAGAAAAATAACCGTTCAAAACTACACAACAATAACCCCAACGAGAAGATCGAACTGTCTAGAAAGACGTGTATCGTCCTTCTGAAGTGGCCATATGAACTTGAAAGTGCGAAAAATTCTGAATTTCAAGAAGAAACTATAAATTTTTTAAAGGGTCGTGGAAAAACCGTCACAATGGAAATTAGCAGTACTAATGAGACAGACGACGAGTCATTGAAAATAATGAACAGGAAATGTCACCACTAAGTGAAGACGCTGGTTCAACAATCCCTCAATGCATGTAACGTCTCCGCTCCGTCAGTTTAACGGAACGCGAGCGAACGTTTGCTACTGTCGCCCTGGTCAGGCCCGGAAAGACGGGCTCGTGCCCGCACCAATTCTACCCAGGAATTCAACGAGCGTTGTGTTTGGTTTGAAGCGTAATCAGAAACATGCGTGATAGTGCTTATTACGCACGTGCGTAACATAACGGTCAAAACATGATAAATGACGTTTGTACTACGCTTGACCTGAAACAAAGATAGAAGCCGCATGGTGCCTTCAGCGTTAACTACATCACGTGTACATTGCCAGCACGGTATATCTCCTTGTGTTTGGAATTTACTTGGTTAAAATCTCAATCGGCTGAACTTTACAGTTGCTTCTTCGAGTCTCTTCATACAAAATCTAGGATGATAATTATGTCATTTAAAACTTCATAGCACAGTGGTGACTATGCGTACCACCTGCTTTAACAAACATTATTGAGCAATTCATCTTTGTAAGGGAGAAGTGTTGCGTTTTCATACAACAGTAACTAAATCTGTAAATGTTATTCAGGTAATCTTCGGCTTCAAAGAATTAAAGAAGTCTATA